CGCAGAACCAGTTCCATCGCAATTGATGGACTTAACAATTCCTGAAGAAATTGCGATTTCAAAGGTAATACCAGTTGTTTAGTTTATATATCATAGGTGTTTCGAAGAACTATCTTATGGCAATCTACCAATTCTGTGAAACAGCAACATTCTTTTATAAAGAATCATATTATCAGTTTTCAAAGTAATCTAAATGAAGTCGTTCGCATTCTTCCCCGTCCAGCAACGGAACTGTCCCATCTGATCAAGTTCGTGTTTGTTGGAGTAAATGAAGAAGTGCAGATGCCCAAAATTAATCACATTCGAAAATCAAAAGTATTGGAGGCACTAACTTGGCTAAAAGCAAACAACAAAAACTATGAAGATACTGATATTGATACTGGGATTTATGAAGATGAACAGTACATTATTCCAATTGAGTACTCTAATATGGAGGAACACATAAACGCTCATATTCCCCCTCACGCAACTTTCGAGACCACAGAGGAAGAAATGGATGTAATAATAGCTAACGGAGCTGTGTATGAGCGGTTTTCTACTTCTGGGCTCTATAAATCATACTTAGAAAGTGATGGTCTATCTAACATTTCTCTTACTGCATCTTTGAATACCTGGGCCAAAGCTAGAACTGAAGGTTTAAATGCACTGTCTTATCAAGAACATCCTTTAAATCTTAAAGAGAATATTGATTGGATTTTGGAAAGCTATGTGACATTATTCCCTTATGGAAAAACTGGACCCAAAGCTAGCCGAACTCGCAATTTTCAATTGAACGAATGGATAGCTCATCTTTTAAATATCGGTGACAAAAGATTCCGAAAACATTTCGATTTTATTTTCGCCCTTTATAATCAATTACAAAGAATTAAGGTTCAGAATGCAACTCATTATCAAATCTCCAACTTCCCTACAATTCCAATTAGCTATGACACTTTTTTTGAGCAATTGGAAAGGTTAAAACAAAGCCAACCACTCACTGATAACGGTACAAAAAGATTATTGGATAAAGTTCGAACATGTGGCGCTCTGATTCCTCATTCACCACAACGAAAAACTATTCTCCGCTCTCAGATTTTTGGATTGACGAGTGTTCATGGGTGGCCCGCATATTTTATTACAATCAATCCTGCGGATCTACATAATCCTATGGTAAAGCTTCTGGAACCAAGACTTCAAAATTTCGAGAAGCTATTTGAAATATTAACTTCAAATGGATTATTGGGAGAGTCAGAGAGCAACGTATTTCAAGAATTTCAAAGCGGAACCAACGCAACTGATCCTATAGCATGTGCAAAATTTTTCAATTTGGTTATAAAGACATACATTGAAGGCATCCTAGGATGGGACCAAAACACTCATTCTTACAAAGAGGCATATTTTGGAAAAACCGTCGCCCATTTTGGAGTGGTAGAAGAACAGCAAAGAAAGCAGCTTCATCTTCATCTCTTGGTGTGGGTTCAAAACTATGGTCATTACGAATCTTTTCACGAGCAAATGAAAAGTGAAGTGTTCAAAGAGAAATTTATCAAATATATAAAGCAAGTAGTTGTGGAACATGAGATTCCATCACATTTGGGCACTGATTATTCTGCAACAAAATTTCTTTGTCCACGATTAAATGAAGAATCTTATGAGCAAATTTTTGTTTCTCAACTCGGTTGGGTCCAATCAAAGTGTCAACTACACAAGTGTTCTCTATTTTACTGCATGAAGAATGGAAGAAGATGCAAATTCAAGTTCCCAAAAGAGAATTATCCGGAAACAGAGTATAATCAACGGCAAAAGAAGTTATATTTAAAAAGAGACAATCCATACTTGAATAGTTGCTGCCCTGCCATATCTGTGATATGTAGGTGTAACAATGACATAGTTTTTCTTCCGGGAACCGGCAACCCGAAGGCGGCAAGATGTGTCTCATACTATGCTTCAAATTATACAAGTAAAGTCAATTCTACCAGGCTTCAACTAATGGAATATATGAAAAGAAAGATAGTGGACTTACAAAAGTACCAACCCGAGCTTTGTGAGAACCCAAAACGCCTAGCACAGTCATTGCTAAGCAAAACCCTCAATAACTTGTCAGCAGCTAACGAAGTGGGTGCGGTAGAGGTAGCATCTACTCTACTTGGATATAACGATCATTACACCTCGGCCCAATTCTCGTCCGTGAATTGGAAAGGATGGGATCTGTGGCTGTGTAAAGAGCTTTCCGATTCGTACAACAATCACTCGTATACAAGATTTGTCGATCGCAGTAATGTTTACCACAAAGCGTTGTGTGCATCGTTAAATGGCGAAACCCTGCAAGATACATATATTTTATTAAGCTTCATTGATGAATATTTAGATCGCAACGAGAACTTTAACGGTCTTTCAATTTGGGAAATGGCATCGTTGTACTATTTTGGCGCGGAGAAGGAAGGGCGGGCGTTTCACCAGCTTCAAAACGCAGAAAAATACTTACCGTTAACCCTTGGTCATACACCACACTTGCTTGTACGCTGTCCATGTCTACCCTGGTTTAACAGCAAATCGTCAACTCACGGAGTTGGTTCGGAAGCATTCTATCGAATAATGATGGTGTTATTCAGACCTTTCAGAAATGCACAGGAATTAAAACCACAGACTACATTTAAGGATTCCTATATGTCTTGGAAAGAAACTCTGAACTTGTCCATTGCACCGTACGCTTACATGATCAATATCGAAAATGAAGGGCAGACGATGATTGATGCTGACACTCCAGAAATGCGACTGCATGCTGAAACTATTATTGGCGCGCCAAACAATCCAATTTCCCGTGAGCGCATAAACTGGAACCCGGTGTCATACTTTACCCCAGTAACAGACACTAGTTCACAAAGAATTGCTTCAAATGTTCTACAGAATGTTATTAGTTTGTAAAACCAGTTAAATGAGAGGTTTAAGGACAGACTTACAGTCCCTACTCATAACCACTTTGCCCCTATTGTGTCCCGCGACTATGATGAGACCTGCCAAAGGGTTGCCCGTTTTTTGCAAAGTAAACGTACAATTAAAACTTGTGCAACGCAATGGAATGTATTAAAGATCATTGGAAATCATTTGTGTAAGTTATACTGTGGTTTATCGGTCGATCCCATTCGTATGCTCATACACGGAGAAGGTAATCACAAGTATTTTGATTTTAGGCGGAACCGGTAAGTCATTTATCATCAACACGATCCGTGCCTTGTTTAACATGCTACACATCTCTCAGCGGCTCGTAGTCGGCGCACCAACAGGAAGAGCCGCAATTGCTGTTAGTGGAGATACTTTTGATGGCCTCTTTGGATACAGTCGAATTGCTATTCCCAAAAAATTACCCCAGAACAGTCAAGTGGCGAATGCTTGGTACATTTTAGGAGATGAAATGTCAATGCTTGGAAAAAAGAAGCTTGGGATGATGCACCAATCGCTAGGTTATAATCAAGAGGCAGAAGATCATATTTTTGGGAACAAGTCGTTTATTCTTTTTGGTGACTTTCTTCAATTCCCACCTGTGGGAGAAACACCTCTATTTAGTCCACTAACTGCAAATAGACGATACGATCTTAATGGCAGTTTGGTGTTCAATAGTATCAACATTATGTTTGAACTAGTTGAGCAAAAACGACAAGATGACTTAGAATATCTTCGTGTATTGAGGAATATCAGAAATGCCAACGCTAGTGAAGATGATGTATTGTTTCTCAAGACTCATTGCAAAATGCCGAGCCTCAACTTAGTCGATGATCAGTGGCTAATTGATACACCTATTGTAGTGTCGCGTAATGACACTCGATATCAATGGAATGCAATGATTGCTGACAAGTTTGCTTTTGTAAATGAAAAAACAATTCTGCGGTTGGAATCTATTGATCAAGTTAATGTGGCAGTTGATATGTTGATAAAGGATTTACTCAGAACATTGATTCCAAACTACTTACAGCGGAGGCTCAATCTGGTAGTTGGAATGCCCATAGTATTCTTGCGGAATTCCTATAAATATCTAGGAGTAGCTAATGGGACAGAAGGAATATATAAGGGATATCGTTTAGACAGTTCAGGAACTATTTCTGCCTTGGAAATTGAGTTTCCTACCTTAAACTTTGTGATAGATTCACTGCCACCCAATACGCTTCTAATTGACCGAGAGGAAGCCCATATGGTTTTTAAGAAAAAAGATTTAAAATTCAAACTGAATAGAAAGCAGTTCCCTATAACTGAAGGATTTGCATCAACGGACTACAAAAAGCAAGGTGCGACTTTGGAAAGATCGATAATAGAACTGAATCCCAATCGTGGTGTCGCGGCATATGTCAAACTTTCTAGGACAAAAAGAGCCGCAGATACTCATATTTTAGATGGCCACAGTCTAAAAGACATTGAAATTGAATGGCCCAAAGGCTATGCTGAATGGAGACGAAATATTCTTATTCCATGTATCACTTCATCAACAGCGATCGCCGCAGCAATTACAATGTTTGACTAATAAATAGTATTTCACAGTTTATCGATTGCAATAATAGTAATAAAATGTAGTTTGAGTATTTTATTAGCATCCTAATTTCAAACATCAATGTCTTCCAATTCCTCCACTTCGTTTGTACCAACATCAATAAGTCGCATTTTAGTTGGAACTAACTGAACGTATCTCTTTCCATTGTAAGTGGTAGTCTGAATACGAAAGACGACTACTACATCCTTATTGGGGGCAAAAACAGTTTCATATTGGTGGAACGGAATGGCCTTACCATTCAAATTAAACGCACCAAGGGGCAATGGATTCGCAACATACCCAGCAAGTTTTGCCTTCTTCCAATACTCTTTTCCTATTATAGACTATTTATAGTCTATTTAGTACCTGAGGTAGAAAGAGGTTAAGCCTCATATAAAAGAACAATGGACATCCATTGTTCTTTTTGTTTCTGCTCTGAAAAAAATGAAGCCTCCCGTTTTGAGAGGTTTTAATATATTTCACCAGAGCGATTTAGAAATGAACCCTCTATGGCCCAGTTGGTAGGGCATTACACTCACAACGTGAGAGCGAGAGTTCAATCCCCGGTAAGAACAGTTTGTGTTTTTCACCGAAGCGGTCCCGGTTCGATTCCGGGTGGTGAATTTCGGTTTTTTGCTCTTAAACTCAATTTAAGATGGGGCAAAACGAATTCGTTTTCAAACCCCCTTGAAAACGTTTTCATCAACGGGTGATTCCAAATTGATTTTGTGTAGTTACTCAAATTTGATTTGAAAGGGTTCAAACAAAAGCGTTTTCATACCCCCTTGAAAACGCTTTTGATTAGAATGCTTCCAGAACGATTTCCATCGTAGGAAAATAGTACAAGGCGAAGTAATAAGCCTCGCCAAAGCCACAGAAAGTATATAAGAAAGAAATTGTAGAAAATTCTTTACAAATTTTATTGCAAATGGATTCTACCAGACAAGAAAGGTACGGCATTGAAATGAATCTGATTGCATCTGATTTAAAAACGTTTTCAAACCACTTTGAAAACGCTTTTGCTTAACTCTGTCTCAAAATTTTTTATTTACCAAAGATTATTATCTAACATTTTGTAGTGTTAAACAAAACGCCGCAAATGAAAAAGAACTTATTACCGAAACTGAAAAAAGAATTAGCAGGTAATATATAATATTTCACACTAGTGTGCGCACCATGTTGGAACCCGAAAAAGGATCAAAATCAACCGAATCCCCGCAACAACCAACTACTTCAAAGCCTGAAGCACCAGGTTTGCCGCCACCCACCAAACATTTATCAACCCTTAAGCCTACTGGAAAAGCATCAGCACCATCGGCGTCCCCCCCACTGTCCGATGCAGCTGGTCAAAATCCCTCAAAAGCATCACCACCTGGAAAATCAACCACCACGAAAAAGAAATCAACTTCCCCTAATACATCCGTAACGAGTACTTCAAAAAAACAACGAGTCAATCCATTATTGGGTGAGGGATCTAGCGGAAAAAAGAAGTCCATAACCAGTGCAGCAGAAGAAGGTGCGGATATAAAAGGGAAAAAGATTAGTAAATCCATACTTCATCCGACAAAAAAGAGGTAAACATTTATCACTTACCAAATTACAGATCGGGAACCGAAATTCAAGAACCAAGTAAAAAGAAAAGAATCCAGAAAGAAACTCAAAACAAATCCAAAAAGGGAAAAGAGAAGGCGGTGAGTGAAGATGAGGGCAATGAAAGTCAAACTGATAATTTAAAACCGGACAACGAAAAAAAGCACAAACCTTTCCACATTGAGGTTTGGTTAGACGAGGTTATTACTGATGATATTCCCGAAAATTTTGTGAACTCCAGACCTCTGGATATTGACTATGCAGAGGACTTAAAACAAGAAATTCTGGCAAATCCAAACCGAGCAGCAAACCCAATTATTGTTGTACTACGTGAAGATATTGATTTCGAACGGTTCAGAGACAATGAAGGATACCGTAATGGATTTAAACACCAAAAAATATACTATGTACTCAATGGACAACATCGGATGTACTGTCTGCAGTCATTCGATCCGGATAATCAATATTGGGATGGGTTAGTGTACACACCGAAAGCTGATGAAATCTTTACGCTGTTGAATTTAGGCTTAAATCATTCCTTGAAGCAAAGGTCTGCGACCCTTTTAGAACGTTTTACCAAATTAAGATTACTGAAACATTTTACTGGGAAGGAATTGGAAATCGGTAAATTAATGGGTATAAAAGTCACCAAAAAAACGAAGAAAGATGGTACTGAAGCAGCTATGATGTAACAATAATGTAAACTTAAAATTTTAGCAATACAATCAATCAATTAAACAAGGCAAGTCGGTATCCGAGAGATGCCGCACTGATATACAAAAAAACAGAAAAAACCCAGATATTTACGGAGGAAGAACTTGGGAAATTAGAGCCATTGGTGCACAAATTCCAACGAGAATGTAGCCGAACGTATCAAATACCTGCGGTGGCCTCAGATGCACTAAAAACGCAAACATCAACACATTGGTATACTATGTCTACAACAAGGTTGACATACAATATTGCGCGACAGTTCTATGAAACGTGCTATAAGTACATTACGGAAGGAGTACCACCAGAAATGAAAGATTCGCTGGATACCATCAGGAAAGGAAAGAACTCAAAACACGAGCCAACTTATAATCCGGTATGGGAGAAAGTCGAGTATGCAAGCTTGTATTGGTTTTCCCGGTTATTGGAACTGTCAATTTACTCCAAATTGTACTGGGGGTACGAAAAGAAATATCTTGAAAATGACGATCTTTTCAAGTACAAGTATAACGCCCATGGAGAAGTGATTTTGGACCCGAATCCACCACATTTACCTTTACCTTTTTCGTTTGATGAATTTGTGGCACTTATGGATGAAAAGGCATTTGGAAATAACAAAGTAATGGCGTTAAACACTATGATGAATGGCTGGACTAGAATACAGCGTAATATGTCAGATTTCAATCGCGACGTGATGAAAATACGTAAAGATATATTCAATTTATTATTCATGACGACCGTTGAAGACGAACCGGAAACAGAATCAATTCCGGGATATACTGACCATGGATTCAACTACTTTCGGGAAAATGACAAGTGTAACGTATCATACTACCCAGGAACATGTATTTTCGAAATGGCAAAAGTTTTTGCTGAACGTGACGTTAAATTCCCATTCGTACATATGGATATCCCATTGTTCTATTACAACAAGAAAATAGATACTTTGGCATTTGCTGACCCTGACTGCGAAAATGAAACCGAGTTTATCAGACATGTTCTGGATCTATTTGTTGCAGTCTCCGAAGATGACGCTGTTGGATTGATTTGGTGCAGTGAACAGCAAATTTTGCTATTCCATGACTGGGCTGAAAAGTTCCCGGATTTGAAAATTCATATCGTATATGTCTCAGAAACCAATGCACAATACCGCGTTTTTCATAGCAAGAATCAAATCTACAGGCAACAGCTTTATGTACCAACAAGAAACATGCAATTTGTAGTATACATCGTTAAAGGTGAACCAGATTGGATAACACAACAAATCCGAAATTCTTATGACGCTGAAGAGCGAAAAGATTACGGACACAACAGTATCAACCCATTTAACAAACCAGAAGGTTTCCTTATGCGTTTATTCGGTATGATGGGAAAAAAAGGCTTCAAAATGTTGGATTGTTTTTCCGGCACTTGTTCCAGCTTAATTCCTGCTATGGCACACTACATTGGTTGAAAAGGATCCAGCACAACACAGATTATTTGATCAAAAGAAAATGCAAGCGATCGATCATTTTATGAATGGCAATCGGAAATTTGCTGATGATACTAATTACACGGGCTTTGGCCAGTTTGCAGATAAAGTAAAGAAGATAGTGAAGGTTATAAATTTTAAAATTAAACATCAGGTAAAAAGAAGAGAAAAGAAAGGTGTTGCCATTATCTCGGATGATGAAGACAATGAATCGGAAGATGAAGAAGATAAAGGGGAAGGCTTAGATGAGAATATTCCACCTGTTGTTCCAGATTGGGCACGATCTGAATTTGAAGAATTGAATGGTTGGTTGCACGGCCAATTAGGCTATGGTGCAGAAATTGAATATCGTAACCCAGAGGTTTATGATCTCGAAGACCTTGCTGAAGATTTACAAAAAGTTCAGGACACTATTGATTGTCCTGAACCAGTTCAAATGTGGATTGATAAAATCGAAAACTATCTCAGTGAACACTAGTTTAATTACTGAATAAAATTCATTTTGCTTCTATTTGATTACTGTTTTTAAAAACCGGACTCTTTATTAAATTCTGACTCGTAACTTTCTTTTTGAAAATCAAGCAACTTAAACGTTACGGATGCTTCAAAAGGATTTTATTATTACACGAAGAACACCATGACACTTCTTAATAAAGGATAGTTTCCTTTAAGATAAATAGTCTATATTGAAGGAAGCGTAGCGGACGCCATAGAATATTTCAATACATGTCTATGATACCTTCTAAATCATCAGGAATGTACAATTCAGATCCGGTAGCTTTAATTGCAATTTTTCGTTTAAATCGCAGTTCCATGGGAGAAATGACAGATCTAAATCCGGAGACTTTAAAAGTTGGATCCACTGCATCTTCGATCTCAGTTATTTTTGCAACGCATTTGCTGAATTCGTCTCCATAATCTCGAGAGGGTTTAAGACTAAATACGAATGATTTGATACCCTTTTCAGTTAAACTGTCATGGTACACTTCATTAAGATCACCATATACACTACACTTGCAATTCGTTAGTCTTCCGAACATTGTGAAAGAGAGACCTTTTCCATTTTGATCGTTAACATATCTGATGAATGCCTCCTCTGACCATTTGAATTGTTTAACATTTGGTAAATATCTTGCATTAGACATCAATTTTGGAATATCGTAATTGATTCCTGACTCGGACAAGTCTTTTAGTTCTTGAGCTTTTTCGTGTCCCAATTTCATTTTTTTTGTGGGACTCACATTTTGACTTCTTAATTCGCGAGACATAATTGAATTTGATGGTTTAGACAACTACATATTTATATAAATTGTCTTATATTGTTGGCTTATTTGTGGCTTCTTAACGCCTTCCAGTATTGGGCTTTACGTACGATTGCTGTTCTAACTCGTGACCGTTTGAGGCTTTGACAATCGTTTGAGGATGCCTTTAGTGTTTCAAAAAATGTTTCATTGCGAAGCCTCGGTGGCGATTTACCCAACTGGGAGGGGCAATAATCTTTGATCAGTCATGTGTTTTACTCCAGATACTTATAAATAGCTCTATATTCACAAGCCGTGTAAAACTTTTCTCGCTGTAATAAGCATTTATTGCTTTGCTTACCCAAAATATGTTTCATTTGTACCCATACGTAATGTTTTGGCGCTGGTCATAGTACATAAGCCCATAGAAACTTATAAAATGGCATGTGCATCTAAGGATATCTTTTCAATTACTGTTTAGGTATATTGGGGTCAAGTCGGCTTAAAGGATATATTACTTGGATACTAATGTTTTTAATATATCAATTATTTTAAATGAAAT